ATAGATAGATAGATATGATTCACACACACACACAGATATAGTATCATAGATTTGAAAGGGACCCCTAAAGAAGGACAATTATATGTTGCATGTTCCAGAGTAGGCAAACCAGACAATCTCCATATCAACACTGACAAAGAAACAGCAAGAAATACTGTTTAGCCACAAGCATAAAGAAATAATATATATTAGAAACCAACACTTTCACACTACTTTATTTTCCAGATCACCAGACTGGGCCACAGCAATGTGTGGCAGGGGACAGCTAGTTAATCATAAATCAGGAAAATAGCTAGGAGAGCTAGGATGCTGGTATCTTTGGATGTAAGGGACTTACTGTGATACAAAATCCCCTGCATCAGCATGCAGACAGGGGATTATTTCTCCTCAAGTGGGCCTTCACTCCCAATCCCATCATCTTCCAAGCCTTTGCGTCCTCTGGCAGATTCACACCTCCTTCTGCAGTCTCACACCTAAAGCCAAAAGAAAGGGGGGGAAAGTCAGAGAAAGCACTAGATCACCATAGGAACTGATCTGTGTCAGCGAAGGAGGCTCCCACACAATAAAAATGGACCAAAGCACACCAGTGTGTTTACATTCCCAAAGATTATTAGCCATAGATGGCACCTTAAAGAAATCAACGGGTTTATTATGGCGTGCATTTCGTGCATTAGTGCCCGTAAGTGGACCCTGTGGTCTACAGAACTATTCAGTTAAAAACAAAACAAAATCATAATGGTTTTATAATGCAATAGTATCACTGTTGGCAGAAGCCTGCAGAAAGGGTCTGCAAAACTTGGCAGTGTTTCCTTTTGGACTACAGCTCCAAGCATCCCCACGCAAGTTGGACATTCTGGGAACTGTAACAACAAAAAGGACTTTTTGCAAGACTGAAAGGCCAATTAGTTTTCTAATTCTTTAGTTAACATATGTATTTATTTATTTATTGCACTGGCTACTATGCAAAGTATTGTGGCAACCTTAAAAACCTGAATGTTTTCTTGTCAAGATACTCAAAAGAATGCCTTCTCCATAAGAGCTTTCCTACTTAATTAAAGTTCCTCTTCTTGTGTATCGCAAATTAACCGAAGGGAAGAAAGATCTGAAATTCCCAAAATAATCATTCCTCTTTAAAAAGTTTTTAAACGCTGTTCTCTTTTCCAATATGTTCACTATTTTGACTGGCCTTGTGTTCCCCCTTTCCCTAATTGAACTTTTATATTTAAACTAGCTTGGGTACCCAGCATTGCCTGAGTTATTTCAAAAAGTTTTTTTTAATTGTACAAAATGCATAAGGTTGTGGGTAAACTACAACTCACATCATGCCAGGTCAACCCCGCAAAACTCCACTGCTCTAGATGCATCATCGGTGGGGTTCAGTGTGCTCTCTGGCTGTAGGGTAAACTACAACTCCCACTATGGTGAGTCAGTCCCCTCATTTATTTATTTAGAAGTTTTATATACCGGTCTTCTCACCGGTTCACAACATGTGTTCATATACAGTAATATACAAAACAGCACAATGCACCATCATTCTACATTAAAATATAAGTACAATAAAAACATCATCATCACATTACACAAGCCAAGTCGTCAAATACAGTCACAATTCATCGCCATCCTTCCATGTGGACAAGGGTTATTGACTCAATCCTCAAAGGCCATATTCCAAAGCCAGGTTTTTATTCGTTTTCTAAAGGTCAGAAGGGAGGGAGCAGATCTAATCTCTGGTGGGAGGGAATTCCAAAGCCGAGGAGCCACCACCGAAAAGGCCCTGTCCCTCGTTCCCACCAAACGCGATTGTGAAAGTGGTGGGACCGAGAGCAGGGCCCCTTCTGAAGATCTTAGTAACCTTGATGGTTCATCGGGAAGAATCCATTCTAGTAGGTTGGGTTAGTTGTGGGGGTGCTCCTCAAACTTCTCTAGTATGCTCAGTTGCTGATCAATTTCTCTTGTTTGCTGTGTGCCATAGAAAAGAATAGGAAAGGGTTAAAGGAAGAGGCAGTGGGTGGGGTCATGCAAATTCCACACTAATGGAGAGAGTAAGAAACACTGAGATGTCTGTGGTGGAGGAAACACATAAAATCTAGGATGAAATTGTCCCCATATGAAAGCCTTCACTTGGGTGGTGGGCAGTATTGTGTTTTTGGAGGACATAGGCAGGTCTCTTGTACATGTTCATGGCACTCACTATAATCTGCAATGTCATTGGAGGGAGGGTCACTGGTGTCTCCTGAGTAGTGGGAGCTATAGCTGTTTGTGGAAGCAGGAGCTTGTCTGTGTAAGTGGACACTTCAACCATAAACACACACACACATTTACACTTTTATGTGTATAGATCAGTGGTTCCCAACCTGTGGTCCGTGGACCACCAGTGGTCCGCAAGAACAACAATATGGTCCACAGCCTCATTATTACTACACCATTGCTTCACAACCAACGAGAGCAACTGGTCTCGTGAAATCTTTATAGTGTCGAAGCAACACGGATGTCAGGAGGGGAGAGGGCTGACTACCCTCGAAAGATTACTACGTCCACATCAGCTCCAGATTATTAAATACGATTTTATGCAGGTGAGCAGATGGTGACTACTGGATGGCATAGGTTCTGTATCAGAACTAGAGCTGGTGTGGTCTGTCCAATGCAATTTTCTGAATAAGCACCCCAAATAACCAAACTGAATCTAAAGTTGACCAAAAACTGTTTTGTAACCCTTTTGGTACTAATGTTGGAGAGTGGTCCATAGTCAAAATGGTCCCTGGTCAAAAAAAAAGTTGGGAACCACTGGTATAGATAGATAGATAGATAGATAGATAGATAGATAGATGGATGGATGGATGGATGGATGGATGGATGGATGGATGGATGGATGTTCATCTTGTGAATTGTAAGGATTTTGTTTAAAAGGTTTTTTTTTTTGTTTCATTCTGGTTTACAAAGCTCCCGTCAATACTAGTGTGTGGGATTTTAAAAATACTACATAAACCTGCCTTTCTATTATTATTATTATTATTATTATTATTATTATTATTATTAATCCCACCTTTCCTCCCTGAAAGAGACTCAAGGTGGCAGACAATATTAAAAACAATACAATATCTAACTTAAAGCCTAAAGCATTTGTAGGGTACCAACGCTGGCTGTTGTTTCAGCCGTGACAAAAAGTGACAGTAAGGGTGCATTGATGATGAAGAATTAATACCGTCTGACACCACTTTTAAACTGCCATGGCTCAATGTGATGGCATCCTGGGAGTTGTAATTTTACCAAGTGTGTTGCTGTTGTTGTTCATTCGTTCATTTGTCTCCAACTCTTCGTGACCTCATGGACCAGCCCACGCCAGAGCTCCCTGTCGGCCGTCACCACCCCCAGCTCCTTCAAGGTCAGTCCAGTCACTTCAAGGATGCCATCCATCCATCTTGCCCTTGGTCGGCCCCTCTTCCTTTTGCCTTCCACTTTCCCCAGCATCATTGTCTTCTCTAGGCTTTGCTGTCTCCTCATGATGTGGCCAAAGTACTTCAGCTTTGTCTCTAGTATCCTTCCCTCCAATGAGCAGTCGGGCTTTATTTCCTGGAGGATGGACTGGTTGGATCTTCTCGCAGTCCAAGGCCTTCTCTGTTAAAGAGTGCTGTGTCTCACCAAACTACAAATCCCAGGATTCCCTAGCACTGAGCCAGGGCACTGCATTAATTCTACAGTTTAGATCAGTGGTTCCCAATCTTGTGCTGTCAGGACTGATGACTGACAGGTTGGAGGTTCGAATCCAGAGAGAGCGGGTTGATCCCCCTCTGTCAGCTCCAACTTCCCATGCAGGGACATGAGAGAAGCCCCCCACAAGGATGGTAAAACATCAATCATCAGGGCCTCCCCTGGGCAATGTCCTTGCAGAGGGCCCATTCTCTCACACCAGAAGTAACTTGAAGTTTCTCAAGTTGCTCCTTTTATGAAAAAAAACTGATTTTAATGTATGTATACTATATGCGTAGGAGCCCCCGGTGGCGCAGTGGGTTAAAGCACTGAGCTGCTGAGCTTGTTGATCGAAAGGTCGCAGGTTCGAATTCCGGGGAGCGGCGTGAGCTTCCGCTGTCAGCCCTAGCTTCTGCCAACCTAGCAGTTCGAAAACATGCAAATGTGAGTAGATCCATAGGTACTGCTCCGGCGGGAAGGTAACGGCGCTCCATGCAGTCATGCCGGCCACATGACCTTGGAGGTGTCTATGGACAACGCTGGCTCTTCGGCTTAGAAATGGAGATGAGCACCACACCCCAGAGTCAGAGGACTACCTTTACCTTACCTACTATATGCGTATGTCTATGTTTGTTTTGGCATTGAATTATAGCCAATCTGGAAGCTGCTCTGAGTCCTTTTCAGGGTCGAGAAAGAGCAGGGTAAATAAATAAACAATAAACAAGCAAAACAACAACAACCCAACTGTCGCCTGGAGAGTTAAGAGGGCTGGACCTTTGGAGCCAGAGCTGCCCTCCCTCTTCAAAGCTTTGGGTTGCCTCTAAAAGGGCTGAAAACAGGGCTGGTATTGAAGACCCTTGATAAAAACCTGTGGAGGCGGAGGGAGGGTGCCAGAGAGAGAGAGAGAGAGAGAGAGAAGGCGCAGAAGGAAGGAAAGAAGGAAAGGGGGAAGGAAGGAAGGAGGAAGCATCATCTGGAAGAAGGGAAGGGAGGGAAGGGTGCCTTGCCAGCACACAAAGGAGTGGAGCTGGAGCAAAGGGAGTGGGGAGCTCCAAGGCCAGCCCTGGCGGCTCCTTGAGCCTGTGGTGTGCCTTGGGCTTCCTCATTCTTCCTCCTCTTCCTCCTCTTGGCTCAGGGAGAATCCCCACTCGCCTCTGGGTCGCCCACGTGGGGCTCAGGCAAACCTTTGTCCGCCCCTCTGCAGGGCGGCTCCTGCCTCGCCCAACCCCTTCTCTCTTTCAACCTCTCTCTCTCTCTTTCTCTTTCCCCTTCCACCTTTCTTTCTCCTCCGGTCCCTTTCGGCTTTGCGGCAGGAGCGGCGCCGGCTGCAGGAGCGGATCTTGGCCACCCGCCGGGAGCTGGAGGAAGAGAGACTCCGAGCCCAGCGCCTCAAGGTACACCAGGAGCATCTTCCCAGGGATGCAGGGGTGGATGGACCAGGCGGCCAGGGGGGGGGGGAGGGAAAAGCCGGGTCCCAAAGGGAGACATCGCCAATCACTGGAATCGAAGAAGAGGGAGTCTCAGGGATGAGCTCAGGGAGAGGGACCAGTTTGTGGGTCTCCATCATGAGAAAGGGGGTGTTCATCCATCCTGTCAAAGGGACTGGGGAAGAGGGGGAATGGATCTTCATGCATATAGGCAGAGCTCAGGGAGAAGAACCGATTTGTGAGTCTCTTTTATGAGAAAGGGATGTGTATCCAGGCAAAGGGACTGGGGAAGAGGGGGTGTGGATCGTCATGCATATAGGCTGAGCACAGGGAGTATTATGAGGGTCTCCTTTATGAGAAAAGGGGTGCATATCTGATCAAAGGGATAGGGGAAGAGTGGAGCTTTATGCATACAGGCTCAGCTCAGGGAGAAGAACCGATTTGTGGGTCTCCTTTATGAGAAATGGGCTGCATATCCAGTCAAAGGGACTGGGGAAGAGGGGGTGTGGATCTTCACGCATATAGGCTGAGCTCAGGGAGTATTTTGAGGGTGTCTTTTATGAGAAAGGGGGTGTAAGTCCAGTCAAAGGGATAGGGGAAGAGTGGAGCTTCGCGCATATAGGCTCAGCTCAGGGAGAAGAACCAATTTGTAGGTTCTCCTTTATGAGAAATGGGCTGCACATCCAGTCAAAGAGACTGAAGAAGAGGGGGTGTGGATCTTCATGCATATAGACTGAGCTCAGGGAGAATTTGTAGGTCTCCTTTATGAGAAAGGGGGTGCATATCCAGTCAAAGGAGTAGAGGAAGAGTGGATCTTTGTGCATATAGGCTCTGCTCAGGGAGAAGAACCAATTTGTGGGTCTCCTTTATGAGATCACCCAGTTCAAAGCAGATATGGTGGGATTTTCTGCCTTGATATTCTGGGTTATATGGCTAAGTCTCCTTTATGGGAAAGGCGATCTATATCCAGTCCAAGGGATTGGGGGAGAGTGGATCTTCCTGCACACAGGATGAGCTCAGGGAGAAGAAGCAATTGGTAGGTCTCCTTATTGATGAAAGCAGGTACAGCTCTAGTGGAAGTGAGGAAGAGAGGAGTGGCAAGGGCCAGGGATCTTCATGCACACACAATCATCTTAGTGAGAGGGACCCGTTTCAAGGTCTCCTTTCTGGAAAGGGGGAGTCAACCAGAGTGGGGAAGGAGGGGGAGGAGTGCAGGGATGAGGGATTCTCACCTTCCCATAGATAATCAGTCTGATTTGTAGGTCTCATTTATGAGAAAGGGGATGCACATCCAGTGAAAGGGATTGGGGAAGAGGGGGAATGGATCGTCATGCACACACGATGAGCTCAGCGGGTTCGTTTCTGAAAAAAGGGGGAGTACGTATCTAGTGGGATATGGGAATTGAGGAGCGGCAGAAGCAATGGAACGTCATGCACACACAATGCGTTCAGGGTGAGGGATCAATTTGCGAGTCTCATTTATGAGAAATGAGTGGGACTGTGGAAGAGAGGACGAGTGGGTGGGAGGGTGGGTTTTCATGCACATGCCATGTGCTCAGTGAGAGGGACCCATTTGTGGGTCTCATTTCCAAGTCAGTGGGGTTGAGGAAGAGGGGAGTGGCAGGGGCCATGCATCTCCACACACATCTGTATGTGGATCACCGTGTGATGTGCTCAGTGAAAGGGACCAGTTTATGGGTCTCATTTGTGAGAAAGGGGGAGTCAGTGAGATCGAGGAAAAGAGGGTGTTTGGTTTTCACGCACATCTGTATATGGGTCTTCATGCACATCTGCATATGGGTCTTCATGCACATCTGTATATGGGTCTTCATGCACATCTGTATATGGCTATTCATGCACATTTGTATGTGGGTCTTCATGAACATCTGCATATGGGTTTTCATGCACATCTGTATATGGGTCTTCATGCACATCTGTATATGGGTCTTCATGCACATCTCTATATGGGTCTTCATGCACATCTGCATATGGGTTTTCATGCACATCTGTATATGGGTCTTCATGCATATCTGTATATGGGTCTTCATGCACATCTGTATGTGAGTCTTCGTGCACATCTGTATGTGGGTCTTCATGCCCATCTGTATATGGGTCTTCATGCACATCTGCATATGGGTCTTCATGCACACCTGTGCATGGATCCTCCTGCACATGGATTTTCACACACACCAGTATTCCCCTCCCACACATGCTAAGGAACCACGGCTCAATGCAGTGTCCGTTCCCATTCTATACAAAGGGGCCTGATTTCCCAGAGGTGCAAATAATCAACGGTATGTCCTTGTGCTCCTCATAATCTGATTGTGGATGGTGGGTGTGTGAAGGAGAAACGGAAGGGAGGGAAACTCTGCCAGCATGATGGTGGAGTATTTGCACTAGTGGGTGTGTTCAGCATCTGCTCTCAGGCCACATAGCTTTATCCGGAATGGGTCTGCCAGTGTGCGGTTATAACTGTTCTGAATGTGCCTAGGGACTGAACGCTTGACATGCGTGTCTATGCAGATCTGTATGCATGTGTGTGTATGTGTCTGGCTGAAGGTCGATCGTCTGGTCTTGATGCGTTCTGACAGCCCACGTGTCCACCTCGCATGCCTGTCTGATCCAGGATAGCTGATCCAGGCATTCTCTGTCTCTCCTCGCAGAGGAAATCCTTGCGTGATCGGTGGCTGATGGAGGGGATGTCCGCACCCACTGATGACGGCGATCACGTGTCGTCGGTTTGGGAGGCACAAACTCGCATCCAAGAATTAGAAGATGATCTATCCAGGTGGGTGTGCTAGAGGGGTGATGGTGGGCTGGCGGCGGGCAAGCACAGCTCAGAGGGTTTTACGCTTCCGGCATTTTGGCACAGAGAAAAAGTCACTTCTTAGATGAAGCAGGGTGGCTGTTTGAAGAGCAGCATAAGAGCTCACATTTTCCATTTGCCTAGCAAGGTGATGATACTTCAAGAAAGCTGATAATCTACCTTCATTTATAGCCACTTCTGGAATGTAACTTTAAATGAATATTTGTAATACAACTGACATTAAAATTGTCCTGTTGTGACCTTACTTTCCCCAATCCTACTATCCTCAACTATCTGAGATCATTCCTTGTTTCCAGCTCTGTATGACTAGGACTGCCTGTCAGAATAGCTCTGTGACACTTCCATGTCCTTTACTTCCTTTACATCAGTACTATTCAAAGTTGTCCTTAGACCATTGGCTAGCCTCTAGACCAGGGATCCTCAAACTATGGCCCGCGGGCCGGATACGGCCCTCCAAGGTCATTTACCCAGCCCTCGCAGGGTCAACCTAAGTCTGAAATGACTTGAAAGCACACAACTACAACAACAATCCTATCTCATCAGCCAAAAACATAATAAGTTTATATTTGTTAAAATTGTTCGTCATTTCAATTATTGTATTGTTTTAAAGTGGGGTTTTTGCACTACAAATAAGATATGTGCATAGGAATTCATGTTTTTTTCAAATTATAATCCAGCCCTCCAACAGTTTGAGGGACTGTGACCTGGCCCTCTATTTGGAAAGTTTGAGGACCACTTCTCTAGACCATTGGCTGCAAGTCCATTGAGTTTTTTAGGAAAGAAGGAAACATTGGCAAGCAGTGAACACAAATATGGTGGTGGACCTTGGCACAGTGAAAAGGAAATAACTGGTCCCCTGCTTCAGATGACTGGAAGTACAAAGCCGACCTTTATCTTGGAAGTTTTTCAAAAGAGTCCCTTCTCTCCAATCCAACTCCTTCTCTTGCAATCTCCCCATATTGATCTCATATGATGATTGGGGATAATAATAATAATATGGAACTTCAAATCCTCTAGCACAAACCAGTCAAGGTGATCCCAGTGGTGATCGGCACACTGGGTGCAGTGCCTAAAGACCTTGGCCTGCACTTAAAAACAATTGGTGTTGACAAAATAACCATTCATCAGCTGTAAAAGGCCACCCTACGCATTATTCGCCAGGGAAATGTCCAATGCGTGATCAATTACAAAAGCCAGCATAGTGATCTTAGAATCATAGAATCAAAGAGTTGGAAGAGACCTCATGGGCCATCCAGTCCAACCCCCTGCCAAGAAGCAGGAATATTGCATTCAAAGCACCCCTGACAGATGGCCATCCAGCCTCTGTTTAAAAGCTTCCAAAGAAGGAGCCTCCACCACACTCCGGGCAGAGAGTTCCACTGCTGAACGGCTCTCACAGGAAGTTCTTCCTCATGTTCAGATGAAATCTCCTTTCTTGTAGTTTGAAGCCATTGTTCCGCATCCTAGTCTCCAGGGAAGCAGAAAACAAGCTTGCTCCCTCCTCCTTGTGACTTCCTCTCACATATTTATACATGGCTATCATATCTCCTCTCAGCCTTCTCTTCTTCAGGCTAAACATGCCCAGCTCCTTAAGCCGCTCCGCATAGGGCTTGTTCTCCAGACCCTTGATCATTTTAGTCGCCCTCCTCTGGACACATTCCAGCTTGTCAATATCTCTCTTGGTTGTTGTAGGTTTTTCCGGGCTATATGGCCATGTTCCAGAGGCATTTTCTCCTGACGTTTCGCCTTCATCTGGCTACCAGTATTAAAAAACTCAAAAATTACAACAGCAAAACAACAGAGAGTAAACAATCAGGCACATCAAATCACTCTCAACAAAAGATTCCCCCCAGGCACTTCCAAGCCATTAAATGCTAATCAAGGTGGTCAGTTGATTTTTTTGTTTTTTATACAAATACAGAAGATCTTCAAAGAACAGATAGAAGTCCGACCAAACTTTTTTAAAAATAATTTTATTATTATTATTATTATTATTATTTCTCTTTTTCTTTTTTTTTCTTTTTTACCTCTTATCACTTTTTGCTTATTATCATTTCCTACTTTCCTATCTCCTTCACAATTATTCCCCCACTTTCCATGTATTTACACTATAACATTAAATGCTAATAAAGGTGGTCAGTTGAAACATTCACACCTAGCTCCAGCAGACAAAAGTCCTTTGTCCCAACCTGGTCATTCCACAGATATATAAACCCATTTTCCTACTTCCAACAGACCTCACTACCTCTGAGGATGCTTGCCATAGATGCAGGCGAAACGTCAGGAGAAAATGCCTCTAGAACATGGCCATATAGCCCGAAAAAACCTACAACAACCCAGTGATTCCGGCCATGAAAGCTTTCGACAATACAATATCTCTCTTGTTTGCTGTGTACTAATTTTGTTGTGTATCAACAACAACAGCAACAACTTTATTTGTAACCTGCCCTATCTCCCTGGGGGGACTCATTATGGGAAGTATCATTGAATGTATCTGAAGGTCGGAAAACAGAGGCCACAAAAAAGTAATTTCTCACCCCATTTTCATGCAACTTCGTGTGTATATAGACCTAACTGTCTAAAGCACATTCTTCCATGTTTATCCCTGTCTCCAGCTCCCCCTTTCTCTCCCACGCCAAATTTTAGATCGTGAGAACCTCCAGACCGAGATTTGTTCTCCTTACCCTGATGGGGATATATAAATAAATAATAACAATGGCAACAGTAACAACAATGTGCTATTCCGGTTGGAGCCACAGATAGAAACTGATGATGGCATTGAGGTCCTCAGGGGACACGGAGAAGGGCTGTTTAGCTGGCACGTTGCATTTCCACTCCCGCCTCTGTGACTTCTCCTTTCCGGAAGAGAAGATGCTTTAGACTAAAAAAGAAAAAGCCACGAGAGAGAAGCCTGAAACCACCGCCTGGCTTGAGGGAGCTGAAGTGACGGAGGATGGGGATTGGGGGAGACGGACTAATGATGAGTCAGCAGCCGCCCTAAGGATTAATTCGCCCTTTCCTAGCAGTAGCCCCCAGGCAGAACCAAAGGGGAAACTAACTGGAGTACAAGGAGGACGGGGAAGGCTCCTGATGTTGCTTATAAATTTGGATGCATATATAGAAATATAGATTCATAGGAACCGAGTTGGAAGATGGGTTGCTCTGAGTTTTCCAGGAAGTATGGCCATGTTCCAGAAGCATTCTCTCCTGATGTTTCACCCACATCTATGGTAGGCATCCTCAGACGTTGTGAGGTCTATTGGAAACTAGAAAAGTTGGGTTTACATATCTGTGAAATGTCCAGGGTGGGAGAAAGAATTCTTGTCTGTTTGAAACAGGTGTGAATGTTGCAATTGGTCTCTTTGATTAGCATTGAATGGCCTTGTAGCTACAAAGTCTGGCTGCTTCCTGCTTGTTGCTAGATCATTCAATGCTATCTATTTATTTATCGTGTCATCCGCAACCAGAACATTGTATTACATTTCTAACAGAACAAAACAAACAAACAGATTAAAAAAAAACACAAATTTTGCAAACTTGGTAGCTGATTAAATGTCCTTTGACCAGTATCTGACCACTTGGAGTGCCTCTGGTGTTGCCGCAAGAAGGTCCTCCATCATGCATGTGGCAGGGCTCAGGTTGCATTGCAGCAGGTGGTCAGTGGTTTGCTCTTCTCCACACTTGCATGTCGTGGATTCAACTTTGTAGCCTATTCAATGCTAATTCTACCCATCTAGAATATTGTGTCCAATTCTGGGCACCACAATTGAAGGGCGATGTTGACAAGTTGGAACGTGTCCAGAGAAGGAAACTAAAATGATCAAGGGTCTGGAGAACAAGCCCTATGAGGAGCAGCTTAAAGAGCTGGGCATGTTTAGCCTGAAGAAGAGAAGGCTGAGAGGAGAGATGATAGTCATGTGAGAGGAAGTCACAAAGAAGAGGGAGCAAGCTTGTTTTCTGCTTCCCTGTAGACTAGGACGCGGAACAATGGCTTCAAACTACAACAGTGGTTCTCAACCAGGGGTCCCCAGATGTTTTTGGCCTACAACTCCCAGTTTACCAGGTGTTAGGATTTCTGTGAGTTGAAGGCCAAAAACATCTGGGGACCCCAGGTTGTGAACCACTGAACTACAAGAAAGGAGATTCCATCTGAACATGAGGAAGAACTTCCTGACTGTGAGAGCCGTTCAGTAGTGGAACTCTCTGCCCCGGAGTGTGGTGGAGGCTCCTTCTTTGGAAGCTTTTAAACAGAGGCTGGATGGCCATCTGTCAGGGGTGATTTGAATGCAGAACAATGGCTTCAAACTACAAGAAAGGAGATTCCATCTGAACATGAGGAAGAACTTCTGACTGTGAGAGCTGTTCAGCAGTGGAACTCTCTGCCCCGGAGTGTGGTGGAGGCTCCTTCTTTGGAAGCTTTTAAACAGAGGCTGGATGGCCATCTGTCAGGGTGATTTGAATGCGGAACAATGGCTTCAAACTACAAGAAAGGAGATTCCATCTGAACATGAGGAAGAACTTCCTGACTGTGAGAGCCGTTCAGCAGTGGAACTCTCTGCCCCGGAGTGTGGTGGAGGCTCCTTCTTTGGAAGCTTTTAAACAGAGGGTGGATGGCCATCTCAGGAGCGACTTGAGAAACTGCAAGTCGCTTCTGGTGTGAGAGAATTGGCTGTCTGCAAGGACGTTGCCCAGGGGACGCCCAGATGATTTGATGTTTTTATCATCCTTGTGGGAGGCTTCTCTCATGTCCCCGCATGAGGAGCTGGAGCTGATAGAGGGAGCTCATCCGCCTCTCCCCGGATTCGAACCTGACCTGTCGGTCTTCAGTCCTGCCAGCACAGGGGTTTAACCCACTGCTCCACCGTTTAACCCAATGGCCATCTGTCAGGGGTGCTTTGAATGCAATATTCCTGCTTCTTGACAGAGGGTTGGACTGGATGGCCCATCAGGTCTCTTCCAACTCTATGATTCTATAATCAAGGTTGCCAATTGCAACATTCACACTTGCCTCCAATAGACAAGAGTTCTTTCTCCCACTCCAGCCATTCCACAGATATATAAACCCTACTTGCCTAGTTTCCAACAGACCTCACAACCTCTGAGGATGCCTGCCATCGATTCTTCTGAAAACATACATCCCAGAAAATTTACAGCAACCCAGTGATTTCAGCCATGAAAGCCTTCAACAACAGCAATTGTGGAGTCTGTTTCCAAAATGTACCAAATCCAAAAGAATTGAAAACTTGAATTATAGATGGCAGTACATTGTTGGCTAGAATATTATGCACAGATCAAAACTATCAAAATGTATCTAACCATTTTGGTCCTGGGCTTGGAAAACCACATTTTATAGCAAAATAATGCATATCTTCCACATTTCTTCAGATGAATTTGGTACAGTTTTGAAGTAAGTGCATGAGTCCATCTCTCGAGCTGTTTCATGATTTAAAGAGGAAAACCAATATCTTAGGTTGTTCCTGACAACCATAGAACTAGTCTTATTAGATTGCTATTTGCATGCTCTTAAAACATCAATGGACTAGTTTTAATTAAGGGTTAATTATTTACTGTTTAATTTATTGTATTAATTATATTTCCATCCTATTTTTATTCTGTTGTCTATTTATAACTATATTTTGGAGCCAACCCAAGCTAAAAAGAAGGGCAGAACTTTCCAACAAATGCATCTAAATTGAGACTAGAGTTCTGAATCCCATCTGAAATTTCCTCAAAAGACATCAGATCCTTTCTGATCTTGTGATCTAAACAGAGTCAGCTCAGGTTAATACTTGGATTGGATCTCCCCAATTAATCCAAGACGCATTGCCCTATATTTCAGAGAAAGGAACTGCCCCAAACACTTTTGAGTATTTCGATGTATTTCTTTGAGTATTTCCCATTGGCAAAAAAAAGCCAATGGGATTTTGGCCTGCATCAATAGGAGCATAGTGTCTACGTCCAGGGAAGTAATGCTACCCCTCTATTCTGCTTTGGTTAGACCACACCTGGAATATTGTGTCCAATTCTGGGCACCACAATTCAAGAGAGATCTTGACAAGCTGGAATGTGTCCAGAGGAGGGCGACTAAAATGATCAAGGTCTGGAGAACAAGCCCTATGAGGAGCGGCTTAAGGAGCTGGGCATGTTTAGATAAGAAGGCTGAGAGGGGATTTGATAGCCATGTATAAATATGTGAGAGGAAGCCACAGGGAGGAGGGAGCAAGCTTGTTTTCTGCTTCCCTGGAGACTAGGATGCGGAGCAATGGCTTCACACTACAAGAAAGGAGATTCCATCTGAACATAAGAACTTCCTGACTGTGAGAGCCATTCAGCAGTGAAACTCTCTGCCCCGGAGTGTGGTGGAGGCTCCTTCTTTGGAAGCTTTTAAACAGAGGCTGGATGGCCATCTGTCAGGGGTGCTTTGAATGCAATATTCCTGCTTCTTGGCAGGGGGTTGGACTGGATGGCCCACGAGGTCTCTTCCAACTCTTTGATTCTATGATTCTGTGATCACTATACTGGCTTTTGTAATTGATCACACATTGGACACTTCCCTGGCGAATAATGCATAGGGTGGCCTTTTACAGCTGATGAATGGTTATTTTGTCAACGCCAATTGTTTTTAAGTGCAGGCCAAGGTCTTTAGGCACTGCACCCAGTGTGCCGATCACCACTGGGATCACCTTTGAATGCAATATTCCTGCTTCTTGGCAGGGGGTTGAACTGGATGGCCCATGAGGTCTCTTCCAACTCTTTGATTCTATGCTTCTATGTAAATATTATGAAATTCATGGGAGTTAACCAGTTAAATATGCTGACTTGGAGTGCAGTAGACTCTCCTCTGGTTTTTTAGACAGAGGCTGGATGGACATCAGTTGGGAGTGCTTTGATTATGTATTCCAGCTTTGGCAGGGGTTGGACTGGATGACATTTGGAGTCTCATTATGTCATTATGTTTTGGTTTCTATGTTTTGTGTATATTGTTTATATGCTTTGATGTTTTATACTTTATTGTTATGTTGTTTATTTTACTGCAATTTGTATTTTTATACTGTAATTTGTTGTTTGGGCTTGGCCCCATGTAAGCCGCTCCGAGTCCCCGTTGGGGGAGATGGTGGCGGGGTATAAATAAAGATTATTATTACTATTATTTAAATAATTTAAATAAAAATAAATATATAAATATAAAATATAAAAAGAGAGGGGGAAATGGGAAAAATGATATTAAAAGTATATATATCTTTAAAATGGTGAAAAAAAATAAAGAAGGAAAAAGAAAAAAGAGAAAAAAGGGAAAAATAAATAAAAATCTTCTTATTGACCTCCAAATTCTTTTCATTTCTGGGCAATTAGTCTCTTGCATATCAATTGTAATTAGTCTCTCCGTCTTCTCATAATTTCACCACCCAAATGCCCTACAGACTGGACTTTACTGGACATTTTTTTTCTATTTCCCTTTTCTTAATGGGCCGCAGGAACTTGGGACATTGTTCATAACTTGATTTTTTGTTCCTGGGTTATAAATATAATTTCCTAATTGGTTCTATCATAAAAACATGGAAAAGGTTTACAAAACGGCACAAACTTTGTTTTTGTGGGACATCCTGCAGCACATTTTACTATAGTTTTCCAACCAATTCAACATAGTTTATGACACAAAAATGAACTTTCTGGGGTGTAACAACTACATTCGAAGTATGTAGCACACACTTAAACAGGAAATAACATTTTCAAACCAGGAACAGAAATTATTTCAAATTTTGTTACATAATGTGTTGAATGTCTCTTTCTCTGAAGTCTCCAATCTCAGATGCAGCAGCTGGACAACCCAGAGCTTCAGCAGCCAGAGGAGCCTGCAAAAGCAGTGAAGGAGACCAAGCAGTCATCACTGGATGGCACTGCAGAGGTATGAACCAATTAAAGCAAGTGTAGAATTCACTTTCTGAAACCCATTCCAAACAGCTGAATAATAAAATCCCACATTATCTGCTTTGAACTGGAATATATGGCAGTATGGACTCAAATAACGCAGTTCAAAGCAGGTCTTGTGGGATTTTCTGCCTTGATAATCTGGGTTATAGGGCTGTGTGGATAATCTGGGTTATAGGGCTGTGTGGATAATCTGGGTTATAGGGCTGTGTGCTGAGGCAACACCCACTAATCTCTTTTATATTCCTGTGTTTGTTGCTCTTACGGTTCTCTCTTGGCTCTCCTAATGTATGTATTCCTTCCTCCCTGCATTTTGTCAGGATTTGGCATAAATTTGAAACTACTTGGAAACCTGGATCTTGGGTGATGTCACTGCCTTCATGAGGACAGATACCATTGATTTTTCAAAATCTAATCTACATAATAGAATGAATGCAGTCTGACAGCACTTTATAGAATTATAAGCTATACAACCCAGACCTGGCTGAATTATATGAATGTGTAGTTTTACAAGGTGTTCACCCTTCTCAGACAAAGAGTGCTGGCGCCTCACCAAACTACAAATCCCAGGATTCCATAGCATTGAGCGATGGCAGTTAAAGTGATGCCAAATTGCATTTATTCTACAGTGTAGATGCACTCTGCTGCCTCTTTTGGAAAATATTTTTTTCAATAATAATAATAATAATAATAATAATAATAATAATAATAATAATAATAACAACAACTAGCCATCTCCTACCACGTGTTGCTGTGGCCCACATGGGGGTTCTGTGTGGGAGGTTTGTCCCAATTCTATTGTTGGTGAGGTTCAGAATGCTCTGTGACAGGCATGTAGCTGGGGGGGGGGGGGGGGTTGAGGGGATTCAGCCCCCCCCTCAAATTCTCAGGGTGGTCTGCGAGAAGGCCTTACTAGTACATTATTTAAACTGATCTGATCACCATTGCTCAATATATCCCATATGCATGGGGGTATTGGGGTAATATATCCCATATGCATGGGGGTATTGCTAGGGTAGACCCTCTTTCACTCAGACCCCCCCCCCTCAGCCCCCCTGAAACAAAATTGTTGGTGGGGTTCAGAATGCTCTGTGCTTGTAGGTGAACTATACATCCCAACAAGTACAACTCCCAAATGTCAAGATTCTATATCCCCCAAACTCCACCAGTGTTCACATTTGGGAATACTGAGTATCTGTGTAGAGTTTGGTCCAGATCCATCATTGTTTGAGTCCACAGTGATCTCTGGATGTAGGTGAACTACAACTCCAAAACCAAAGGACACTGACCACCAAACCCTTCCAGTATTTTCTGTTGGTCATGGGAGAACTGTGTTCCAAGTTTGGTTCAATTCCATCATTGGTGGGGTTCAGAATGCTCTTTGATTGTAGGTGAACTATAAATCCCAGCAACTACAACTCCCAAATGACAAAATCAATTTTATTGAGTGTAGGACATGCATTGGGTTGTTAGGTGTCCTGTGTCCAAATTTGGCGTCAATTCATCCAGTGGTTTTTGAGTTCTGTTAATCCCACAAACGAACATTACATTTTTATTTATATAGATAATAATAATAACAATGACGACAACACTTTATTTATATTTCGCCCTTCTCCCCAAGGAGACTCAGAGTGGATTACAGCATATAAACAGACACAGGCAAACATTCAATGCCTTGTTACAGTGAAATATAATGAAACACACCAACACAGACAAAGGCAAAGGCTTCTCCTTTCATTTCTGGCTCTGGAGGCAGTGGTCAACTCCATCTCCATTTCCAATTTATCTCTATTTATCAGTTCTATTTTTCTCCTCACATTTTGCATGTTTTCGAACTACTAGATTGGCAGGAGCTAGGGCTAACAGCTGGACCTCACCCCATCCCGTGGATTCGAACTGCCCACCTTCAGATCAGCAGTTCAGCAGCACAAGGGTTTAACCCATTGAGGCACCACAATGGGTCTTGATTATTTTAGGTTGGATCAACGAAAGTCTCATTTAACTCGTGTGCTTACTTTGAGCAAATTTGCTCAAGATCAAGCTGACAAGATCTCTAGCTCCAAACTTAAAAACAGTCCTACTCAGTCCCTGTGAAACAAAAGTAGATTAGGTAGACTAGACTGCCATTCCTTTATCTCAGGCCAGCTACCACTCCCAGCAGAAAAATCTGACCAGTCCATGAGTCATTATTCGCTCAGCTCCCCTCCCTAGTTCTATCAATTCTGTTATGATTGAGCATCAAGGAAGCCAGAAGTGGGAAAAGTTACTTTTTTTAGACAATGGCTTCCTGAATCTCTCGGCCTGAATTAAACAGTCTTAGGTAGCCTTAGGTAGGACCTAAATAGTGCCCACCAAAGGCACCAGATCCCATCTGATCATGGATGGTAGACCACCAATGGATACCAGAAGCTGTTGACTATATTTTAGCAGCAGGGGTGGGCAAAATCATCTATGTGTATTCCTTATTTAAGAAACATCTATGCGATGCATGGGTTGTCATAAGTTGGTAGGTGATTCGAGGGCACATACATGTGCAGACTCACTTAGGAATCTGGCTGTGAAACAAATTTCTTCAGCTTTGGGGAGAAAACGTTTCCACTGCTTAAAAAAATTAGGTGGGATGATATGGCCTGATAAAAGAATGATTGAATCATCTATGGCCCCTTCTATGCTGTCATACAAAATCCAGACTATCTGTTTTAAACTGGATTATATGGCGGTGTAGACTCATTTAATCCAATTCAAGAGAGATATTGACAAGCTGGAATGTGTCCAGAGGAGGGCGACTAAAATGATCAAGGGTCTGGAGAACAAGCCCTATGAGGAGCAGCTTAAGGAGCTGGGCATGTTTAGCCTGAAGAAGAGAAGGCTGAGAGGAGATATGCTAGCCATGTATAAATATGTGAGAGGAAGTCACAGGGAGGAGGGAGAAAGCTTGTTTTCTGCTTTCCTGAAGACTAGGATGCGGAGCAATGGCTTCTCACTACAAGAAAGGAGATTCCATCTGAACATGAGGAAGAACTTGCTGACTGTGAGAGCCGTTCAGCAGTGGAACTAAGGCTGGATATACACTGCTATATAATCCAGATTATCAAATCAGGATTATCCACATTATCTGCTTTGAACTGGATGATATGAGGCCCTTTTTACGCTGCCATATAAAATCCAGATGTTCTGTTTTGAACTGGATTATATGGCAGTATATTTTATTTTAATTTTTTTATTACCTTGCCCTTCTCTACCCCTGAAGGGGGACTCAGGGTGGCTTACAACTGGCAACAATTTGATGGCCCACATATACAACAAATAAAACAATTACATAATAAGTAAAACATTAAAAATTAGATGAAAAACCATTTAAAATAGTTAGATGAAAAACCATTTAAAATAGTGCAAATTAAATTAGTTGGCATGTCAAGTCCAAGTTCTACGATCAACAACTTAATCCAAAGCCTGTCCATAGTCCATTTTCCATAGCATTGTCGTCATTTTTATTGCCAGCCTGCTATCCGAATTCCTGGTCCCATAGCCATGTCTTCAACTTTTTCTTGAAGGAAAGGAAGGAAGCCGTTGACCTAATTTCGTTAGGGAGCAAGTTTCACAGGCAGGGAGCCACCGCCGAGAAGGCCCTGTCCCTCATCCCCACCAAGCACCATTAGACCCATATAATCCAGTTCAAAGATGATAATGTGAATTATCTGCTTTGATAATCTGGTAGTGTAGATTTTGAAAAGAGCATAAAACAGACTGGTTAACAAAGGTCGGCCTGTCTCAGGATATGGGGTATATGGGTCAGTCTTTGCATGAAATGAGCTGGTCCAGGGTGTAATTCAGGGGTGGAGGACTTTTCTTTTGGTTGAGGGTGTGCCACCCACTTCAAGTCAGGCCAGCCCGAAATGTGAGCAAGACCATCCCCTTTTCTGCCTGCTAAGCATCCTGCCTTCACCTCTCTCCTGCTTTCCCCACCCAGTAGACTGGTAAGCAAGTGGCAGGTTGCTCTTGCCGAGGGCTTGGAACTGTGACTCATAGAAGCCTTTTGAAATTAGGCCAAAGTCCAGAGGTTGTTGCTCCAAGTGTAATGGATTGTGGCTTCTTGCAGGGAAGCCTGGATTCCGATCCTTGTCTGTAGGTGTCAAGGAAATTAGACCCTCTTTCTGAGCAAGGACAGGAATAATATCGAAATAGAAGACATAGGCTGGATCTTCATCTGCTTTGAACTGGATTATATGAGTATACACTGCCAGATAATCTGGGATAAGAAGATAATCTGGGATCTGGGTTGTTGTAGGTTTTTTCAGGCTATATGGCCATGTTTTAGAGGCATTCTCTCTTGACATTTCACCTGCATCTATGGCAATCATCCTCAGAGGTAGATGCAGGCGAAACGTCAGGAGAGAATGCCTCTAGAACATGAACATATAGCCCAAAAAAACCTACAACAACCCAGTGATTCCGGCCGTGAAAGCCTTCGACAAATCTGGGATCTGATCCTGGGATATAGGGCAGTGTAGATTCAGCCATAGAGATCTCTCATTGAACTTGACAGCAGTTCAGACCAACACCAAGCTGCTTGGTTTCAAAAGTGAAAAATTCACTCTCAGTCCAATGACAACCTACTATGTAGCAGAAGAAGAATTGATAAAGTCTTGGAAACATACACTGTATTCCTTGTCTCTCACTCCCCTAGTATCTTGTCATTCACCATAAATAAATATTGCATTGGGTTGTTATAGGTTTTTCAGGCTGTATGGCCGTGTTCCAGAAGCATTCTCTCCTGACTTTTCACCCACATCTATGGCAAGCATCCTCATAGGTTGTGAGGTCACAATGCAGGCGAAACGTCAGGAAAGAATGCTTCAAGAACATGGCCATATTGCCCGAAAAACCTACAACAACCCAGTGATTCCAGCCATGAAAGCCTTCGACAATACAAATATTGCATTGTTGTGTGTCTCCAGATTGTTTCTATTACAGGGGTTTCGTTGGGGAGTGAGTTCCACAGGCAGGGAGCCACCGCCGAGAAGGCCCTGTCCCTCATCCCCACCAAGCACCATTAGACCCATATAATCCAGTTCAAAGATGATAATGTGGATTATCTGTTTTGATAATCTGGTAGTGTAGAAGGTTCGTTCAGAGAGGGTTTGCCTTTAGCCTTCTCTAAGGCTGAGAGACTGTGACTTGCCCACGTCACCCAATGCATTTCTATTTCCAAATAGGGTTTTGAACTGTAGTTCTGTATAGGTGTAGTCCGACACGCCATTACACGACGTGGTTATATAAATAATTGAACAAGTGCATAACTTACACAAATGTGTATTGAAATGATGGTGCTTAATCCAAATATAACTCAGGCCACTAATAAGATAAAATAATGCCCCTAAAATTACCAATGCATGTCAGGGAGAAGGCATGAATATAAACAATACATGCTGAGACATTCATAAAGATACATGCAAACCGAATTTATTTAGATCAGAGGTGGGCAGCTCTGGTGAATCCAGCAGCCAACTTTCCTCCTCCCTGAAACCTTCTAAAGACTGGCCTCCTTCCAGAAGCTGTGCTGATTAGATTTGGTGCCTAACTCCACTGCCAAATTTCAGAAGCAGGCCAAGAAAACTTAAACAGGAAATTCTCATTTTGACCAAGGACCACTTGACCAGGGACCACTTAAACCACTCTCCAACAATAGTCCAAAAGGGTTACAAATCAATTTTTGGTCAATTTTAGATTTGATTTGGTTATTTGGGGCGCTGATTCAGAAAATTGCATTGGATAGACCACATCAGCTCTAGTTTCTGATACAGAACTTATGCCACCCAGTAGTTGCCATCTGCTCGCCCACAGAAAACCAATTGAAGAGAGATATTGACAAGCTGGAATGTGTCCAGAGGAGGGTGACTAAAATGATCAAGGATCTGAAGAACAAGCCCTATGAGGAGCGGCTTAAAGAGCTGGGCATGTTTAGCTTTCAGAAGAGAAGGCGGAGAGGTGACATGATAGCCATGTATAAATATGTGAGAGGAAGTCACAGAGAAGAGGGAACAAACAAGCCCTATGAGGAGTGGCTTAAAGAACTGGGCATGTTTAGCTTTCAGAAGAGAAGGTTGAGAGGAGACATGATGATAGCCATGTATAACTATGTGAGAGAAAGTCACAGAGAGGAGGAAACAAATTTGTTTTCTTCTACCCTGGAGACTAGGACACAGAACAATGGCTTCAAAGTACAGGAAAAGAGATTCCATCTGAACATTTAGGAAGAACTTCCTGATTGTGAGAGCTGTTCAGCAGTGGAACTCTCTGTCCTAGAGTGTGGTGGAGGCTCCTTCTTTGGAGGCTTTTAAACAGAGGCTGGATGGCCATCTGTCAGGGGTGCTTTGAATGCAATATTCCTGCTTCTTGGCAGGCGGTTGGACTGGATGGCCCATGAGGTCTCTTCCAACTCTTTGATTCTATGATTCTATATTTAATAAGCCTCGGCATTATAAGAGGGTTTCACAAGACCAGTCGCTCTTGTTCCAATGGTGTAGTAATGGCTGTGGACCATATTTTAGTTCTTGGGGACAACTGGTGCCCAATTACCACTGTTTTAAAGTAACGCCATGGTTTGCAGATTAATTTAAATGGCAAGAAGAGGGAAAGTTGGGGCTACAAAGAGGACCTTGTGTGGCCATGTATGCCCCTAGAATAATAGGATAATAAAATTGTAGAGTTGGAAGAGACCTCGTGGGCCATCCAGTCCAACCCCCTGCCAAGAAGCAGGAACAGTACAAACAAGATGAATAAAGTGTAATTTGAGTTGGAGTAAAACAAATTTTCTCTTTTTTTCTTAGGTTCCTCTGATATCTTCGTCTTCTCCTCAAGGTAAGTCATTCTTTGTCACATTTGCCTGGGGAAAGCACGATGGTACAAAAATGGCCCTGAAGGTTACTTGCCAAAGAGATTTCTGCAATTGACTTCAAATATGCCTTAAAATACTCGCATATGTGTAACTGAAAATATTTTACTTCAAAAGACCTCTGAGATTTGGTATTACTTGCAGTCAATATTATCTCTGATTCATGTTTATCCTGGGAACAGCAGGTGAGGAAAGCTGGAGTTCTTTGAACCTCTTCGTTCGTTGATATGGTTTTGAAAGGCATAGAGATAAAGGCAGATTTCCCCCCCAATATCTTCCAGTTGTGTTCCTTCTTTGCCTTCTATAATCAGGTGTTTGAGTATTTATTTATTTACTATATTTGTATACCGCTCTTCTCAGCCCTCGGGTGACTCAGAGCGGTTCACAATAGCAAAATTCAAGGCTTAAAACATCATAAAAGTTAAAATAGCATTATAACAATAAATTAAACATCATATAACATCTCATATCATCTCATAGCTAAAATCAACATCCAGTCTCATCATCCAATTGTTCCATATTCCTATATTAATTTCACTGCCTATTCAAATGCCTGCTCGAACAACCAGGTCTTCACTTTCCTCCAAAATGCTAACAGGTAGGGGGCCAATCTAATTTCTGTAGGAAAGGCATTCCACAGCCGAGGGGCCACCTCTGAGAAGGCCCTGTCTCTCGTCCCCGCCAAACGTACTTGTGAGGCAGGCGGGATCGAGAGCAGGGCCTCCCCAGACGATCTTAACATCATAGCTAGTTCATAGGAAGAGTATTGGCCATCTAAGCAGCCTTTACCCCACCTTTGACCATCATTCAATCCCCTTCTACACTGCCATATAATCCAGATTATCAAATCAAATAATCCACAGTATCTGCTTTGAACTGGATTATATGAGTCTACACTGCCATATAATCCAGTTCAAAGCAGTTAATCTGGATTTTGTATGGGAGTGTAAAAGGGGCCCGAGTCCATCTCAACATGGTATCCTCAAATTTCTTCACATTTTCCATTTAACTAAGCAAATTAGATTGCCCTTCATCTATTCCCCCAACCAATTGCAGTTCACCTCCTTCTTACTATCTTCAGGCTGCATCTACACTGCCACATAATCCAGATAATCCACATGATCTGCTTTGAACTAGATTATTTATTTATTTATTTATTTAGAACATGGGTCCKCAAACTTTTTAAACAGAGGGTCAGGTTACAGTCCCTCAAACTGTTGGAGGGCTGGATTACAATTTGAAAAAAAAAATGAGTAAATTCCTATGCACATTGCACATATCTTATTTGTTGTGCAAAAACACCCTTTAAAACAATACAATAATTAAAACAAATATAAACGTATTAGTATTTCAATGGGAAGTGTGGGTCTGCTTTTGGCTGATGAGATAGGATTGTTGTTGTTGGGTTTTTTTTGTTGTTCTTGTTGTTGTGTGCTTTCAAGTAGTTTCAGACTTAAGTTGACTCTGAGTGAGGGCTGGGTAAATGACCTTGGAGGGCCGTAGTTTGAGGACCCCTGATTTAGAACATTTGTATCCCATCCTATTCTCAACCCCTGAAGAGGGACTCAGGGCGGCTATGTCTACACTGCCATATAATCCAATTCAAAGCAAATAATCTGGCATTTTAGATGAGCCTTCTTACTATCCCCACCTTTAATTTTAGTGATACTAGAGCACTTGAGATTTACTATAGTCTGCAAGTTGCTTTTCAACTCTCTTGTTTTGGGCATCACAGTTGAGGTTAGGGAATGGAATGGGGGAGGGGAGTTCAGCAAAAGGGTTATTGAAACCTTGAGCATAGGAACTCGAATGGGCTTGGCAACGTTTTCTGAATCTGATTTAATGAATTCTTTACAGGGAGAAATAGCCCTGAGTCCAGACTTGAATTAGCTCCTGTCCCACCCAAAAGACCTGAAAAGGAGGCAGCAAAAGAGAAACTGCAGAATGGAGACATGTCAGGAGATGGTGGGTACTACTACTACTACTACTATTATTATTATTATTATTATTATTATTATTATTATTATTATTATTATTTACAACATTTCTACCCTGCCCTTCTCAACTCCCGAGTGGGGACTCAGAGTGGCTAACACTGGCAGTAATTTGATGCCACAAATCACAATATAACAACAATATAAACCATAAATACATAATAGATTAAAAACAATAACATTGGTTATCTATATAAATAAAAATGTAATGCTTGTTTGTGAGATTAACATAACTCAAAAACCACTGGACGAATTGCCGCCAAATTTGGCCACAAATTTGGCGGCAATTTTTTTTGTCCTACACTAAAAAAAATTGATTTTGTCATTTAGGAGTTGTAGTTGCTGGGATTTATAGTTAACCTACAATCAAAGAGCATTCTGAACTCTACCAATGATGGAATTGAACCAAGTGTGGCACACAGGACTCCCATGACCAACAGAAAACACTAGAAGGGTTTGGTGGGCATTGACCTTCAGTTTGGGAGTTGTAGTTCACCTACATCCAGAGAGCACTGTGCACTCAAACAGTGATGGATCTGGACCAAACTTGGCATGAATATTCCATATGCCGAAATATGAACACAGATGGAGTTTGGGGGAAATAGACCTTGAAATTTGGGAGTTGTAGTTACAGGGATTTATAGTTCACCTACAATCAAAGAGCATTCTGTCCATCAACGACAGAATTGGGGCAAACATCCTACACAGAACCCCCATGACCAACAGAAAATACTTAAGGCCATCCAGTCCAACTCCCTTCACCAGGGCAAGAAAACGTAATCAGAGCCTTCCTGACAAAGGGCCATACAGCCATGTTGTACACTGCTGCGAGTCGCCCTTGGGCTGAGAACAGCGGTATAGAAGCAAAGTAAATAAATAAATAATATGATTCACACACACATAGATATAGTATCATAGATTTGAAAGGGACCCCTAAAGAAGTATAATTATATGTTGCATGTCCCAGAGTAGGCAAACCAGACAAAGAAGCAGCAAGAAATATTGTTTACCCACAAACATAAAGAAATTACATATATTAGAAACCAACACTTTCTCATTACTTTTATTTTCCAGCTCACCAAACTGGGCCACAGCAATGCGTGGCAGGGGACGGCTAGTACAATGATACAGCCGTTTCCATTATCATAACAATCATATGGTCCAGTTCAGTGTCCAAAGTGCCGTTATACCTGGTAGCCAAAGCCCTGGTTCCAAAACCACAATTTCAGTTTTTTTCCTAAAAGAAAGGAGGGAGGACGCCGATCTATTAAGAGACAAGGTCTACTGTTGAGTTAGATGCTCAGATAGGGTTCTAGCTGAGGTCCGTGGGGCCAAACTTCTGCTGTCCAGCAGAAGTAAGAAGGCAACGCGCAAAAGTCCTAAGTAGGACAGTGACCATTTCCCCGCAAATATAAACTCTGTAGGTTGGAATGATAAAGAAGCTGGCTTCCTGCTATCTTTTTTTTAACTTTGATACCATAAGACATGGTCAGATGTAAATATCTGCAGATTATACTGGTGAACTATAATATCCATCTCTCAGGTAGAATATCCCCATTTATTTCACTCTTCTTGGTACCTCTTTTATTTTTCACTTCCTGTTGGACATTGCACTTTCCCTCTCTGAGCAAACTGGTAACTACAGGAAATTGGTTTGTTGCACGAAAAACAGCAAAAGCATTTACATAAAATAAATAGCTATAGCTATTTATGTTACATGCGTTTTATATCTGATTCTAGTCTGCCCTCATGAAAGAGTTATAGATTTTCTGAAAAGCATAAGCCCACCCACCTTATGCATTTCAGAAAATCTATAACAGGAAAGAGAAGCCAATTATGCTGGGGAAAATAGAAGGAAAAAGGAAGAGGGGCCAACCAAGGGCAAGATGAATTGATGGTTTCCTTGAAGTGCTCATTGGAGGGAAGGATAGTAGAGGTCAAGATGAAGTACTTTGGCCACATCATGAGAAGAAAGGAAAGCTTAGAGAAGACAATGATGCTGGGGGAAATGGAAGGAAAAAGGAAGAGGGGCCGACCAAGGGCAAGATGGATGGATGGTATCCTTGAAGTGACTGGATTGACCTTGAAGGAGCTGGGGGTGGTGACGGCCGACAGGGAGCTCTGGCGTGGGATTGTCCATGAGGTCACGAAGAGTCGGAAGCGACTGAACAAATAAACAACAACAAACATAAATCTATAACTTCAGAAAATCTATAACACCCCCTCCCCAGGTGGTTAAGAAACATAGTCAAGTTGAGAAGCAGACAATATGGGGTTGTGACACAGATATTTATTTATTTATTTCCAGCATTTCTACCCCATCCTTCTCAATCCCCGAAGGGGGACTCAGGACGGCTTACATTTGGCATAATTTTATGCCATTAAATATAACAAAGCAATATAACAACAATTAAAACAATAAACAGAACATTAATTAAAACAATAAAAACAGTATTAACCGTCGTATCACCATTCCAGTCAAATTCCATATCCAAAACACTATTTATGTCTGCTGCCCAAAAGCCTGGTCCCAGAACCACGACTCCAATTTCTTCCTAAAAGACAGGAGGAATGAAGCCAATCTTACCTCGTTGGGAAGTGGGTTCCACAGGTGGAGGCCACAACCAAGAAGGCCCTGTCTCTCTTTCCCTCCAGACATATTTGCAACCTTGGCGGGAGTGAGAGCAGGGTCTCCCTAGATGGTCTTAAACTGCAAGGCGGGACGTAGAGGGAGATGCGTTTGGATAAGTAAGCTGGACCAGAATTGTATAGAATTCATACCAGATGCCATCAAATAGCTTTTCTTGTTAAAGTAGCTTAAAGAAGGTCCAGGTATTCTGGGACCAAGGTGTTTGACATCCTGTTGTTTTTTCTTTCCAAAGATGTGTTTGGCGTTGAATGCAGCCCTGAACAGGTGGATTACAAAGTCAATCCTGTGGTTGTCGAAAGTGGGGATCTTCAGTCTTATCAGGACAGTTCCGAAGTGTCTCCTGCCACAAAGCCACCTCTGCAGAGCCCGAATCCCACTGAAGCTGCTCCCAGTCACCACAGGAAGCTGGCTGTGGAGGAAATGGTCATCCGTGACCATTTGGGACAGGAAGTAGGCAGCATGGATGCTGTTGGGCAGAAACAGAGCTCAATTGTGAAGGAAGATGAGAATGAAGAGCCTGCTCCTTTGAGGAATGGTTGTGAAGAGGGGAGTGAGCCGGCTCCCCTTTGCGATGACTTAGGTCAAGAGATGTCCCCGACTGCTTTAGGAAGCCAACTGGATGGCGAGCTTGGCAGCCGTGAAGGCCCAGAGGGAGAGTCTCCCACATCACAGGATGAACATCAGCAGACTTCCTCCAAGCAGGGCCAGGATGTGACCAGCTGCCTTGATTCCTCTAAGCAGCAGGCGGACGGAGAACCGGGCAAAGAGACAGCTCTGATGGGAGCAGGGCAGACAGAGCTGCCAGGGCAGGGTGCCAGTGAAACGGAGCCTACCCAAGATCCAGCAGCTAGTGATGCTCTGGCAGCAAATTCAATAACATCAGGACTGTCAACTCAAGAGAAGAAGAAGGAGCCGCAAGCATCCCATGAAGCAGAGATCCCAGTGCTGGGGCAAGGAGGAGAGGGACTGTCCACAGAGCCACCGTTTCCAGACCAGACCTCTCCTGTTCCTGAAGCCTCTTCAAAAGAGGACAAATTGTCATCATCTCCTGTAGAACAGATTGCGCTCGGTGCTGAGAATCTAATCCCATCTCTGCAAGACACAGAGGAATCCCTTCTAGATCAGATCCCTTCATCTCTTCAGGAAATGGAGGGTCCCCTCCTGGATCCTGTGGTTTTGTCACTGCCGAATCAGAGTCCATCAGATCTTTTGAACCAGGGTGCTCCTCCTTTGCAAGAAACTGAGGGACCTCTTGTGGCTCAGATTTCCTCTTCAGTGCAGGAACCCATTTTAGATCCAATCCCACCATCTCTGCAGGACTCTTTCCCTTCTTCTTCAGAACAGAAGGCGCCTTCATCGCAGGGTGCGGCCACTGCTTTGCAGGAAGCTAAACACTCCTCGTTGGACCAGATCCCATCCCCTGTGCACGAAACTAATGGAGCCTGTCTGGATCAGATCCCAACCTCTTTACAAAGTGCTTCTTTGCCAGATCAGATACTATCACCTCCTTCAGACCAGCTCGCATCTCTGTCAGATGACATCCCCTCCACTTTGCATGAAAAAGAGAGATCTTCCCAGATATCATCAACTCTCGAGAGTCAGGAATCGTCTGTGATGGAGGTTAAAGATGCTTTCCCAGATATCACCTCCTCACTGCCTAATCCGCTTTCTTCTCTGCCTGATCAGGTCAGTCCCCTTCAAGATGCTGAAGGGCTGACTTTGAAAGACATTCAAATAGAACTGGAGCACCAAACAACAACAGCCCCAGAGACTCAGATTTCTTCTTTGCCAGAGGCTGACAGTATTCTTGAAGGCCAAGCCCCATCCTCTGTGGGTGGTGATGAACATCTGATTCCCAAGGAGACTCCAGTCTCTGGACCAGACCAGGTCCTGCAGGTCCAGACATGGCCATTTGTGGAAGGACAGGTCCTTTCTTCTCTGCCAGAGGTTGGAGAGTCTTCTGCAGAGGAATCTCAGGAGCCCCTGCCCAGTCAAACCTTACCCAGTCTCCCTGAAGCCAAGAAGTCACTTCCAGGTGAGGCCCAAATAGTGTTGGAGGATCTGATGCCAACCTCTGCTCAAGATCAACCTTCTCTTGGGGAGGTAACAAAGACCGTGTCAGAAAAGGAGATGGTCCCATCTGATGTCGAAAAAATACCTGCACTGCCTGACGAAACCCCATCCCTCAAGCAAGGCCCAAATGCAACACTGCAGGATATATCAAATGTCCCTGATGTTTTGCTCTCGTCCAGCCAAGAGCATGCCCAATCCATTTTGGGCAAGACTGCCCCCATGGCAAACCAGGAAGTGAAAGGAGGTGGAGATGCTGCCCTGTCCTCAACAACAGCAGAAGAGACACCAGAAGTCCTGGGAGATCTCCATGCTGAGCAGCAGCCCTTGCTGAATTCAACAAATGCCTCGGTAGCCCCTCCAGAAATATCTCTAGGAGACCCGCAACTGTCCAAGACAGGGATCCTAAAGTCCCAGGCAGCCCCAAGCCAGGAAACCCCAACCTACACCACCGCCTCTGCCAACACTGCCTCATCCCGCCAGCTCCAGCCCGCTGGGTCCCGCCAAGAGGAAGGCGAAGACCATGGCCAGAGCAGGCGCAAGCAGAAGTCGTGCCAGTGCTGTTCCGTCATGTAAGCCCCGGGCTCCTTTGCCCAGCTGAGTTGCCCTCCATTCCTCTCCCTCAGGAATAGGAGTTGTTGATTTGGTCCCAGCAGCAGGCTCTGGAACTGGTAATTTGCCCTGCCAGTAGTCTAGTGTAGGCAGAACATACACATACACATGAGCACACACAACACACAAACCCCACATCCTTTGGTTCTTTGGAGCAACAGAGTTGCTAGTTTGGAGCTGCCCCCCAAACAACGCCGTGGATCTGTCTCTCCCCCTCCCTCCTCCTACTACACAGCTTATCCACCCTTGCTTTTCTGGAGGTGGTGATGGGGAGAAACAGCAATGCCATGCCCTCACTTTTAGAGAGGTTCCTGCATGTTTTGGTGTGTCCATATTCATGCATGCGCACTTGCACATGGGTATTCTCACACACATGCCACAACACCCTATCATCGTGGGCCTATTTTTCCTTCCACAAACCAAATCCTGGGACCTCAGCACCCAAATCTTTTCTGTATCCTTCAAGAGCATGCCTTCCACCCACTTTGGCGTGCATGGGTTCTCATTTGCACCTTTAGAACGCACTCATTTGTGCAGAGGTGTTGGAACATTCAGTACCGATACTATACAGTCCTCTGTTTGCTCTCACAGGCTTGCACAGCAGCATATTTACTGTCACGTGCCATTAGTCAATTCCGCGCTCCCACATAACTTGTAGATAATTTTCACAGGGCTGGGCATCAAGGCTATACACATGCATGCAGCATTCTTGACATCTCCACCCTTTACATGTGCTTGAATCCCTTGGTCAACTTGGCATGACTTCCCAAAGCAGTCTAGGCACGTTCCAGATGTGGAGCACCACCTTATTCCTGCACCTCTGCTGAGATGGTCCAGTTGCGCTCGATGGATCTGGATCAGCACTATGACACCGCGGGCAAAAGAGGACTCCTTGCCGGTTGGCGATGCGCTGGAAGAGACTTTGGACTGGGCGCTGCTGGAGCCCTTCCTCCTGAATAGAGCCTCTCAGCCAAGGCCTCCTCTGGGGCAGACGGACTTCTCTCCCTCACAAGGCCAGAGGGAGACATCTTTTCCTGACTGTGATCCTTCCATTCCTCTAACAACCACTGGGCCGATGCTCTGCCTGCCAGGGCACAAAGACCCCCAGCCCTTTACCTCCCTTTCCCATGACTGTTTATTCTATGCACTTTGTTTGAATTCTAATTAGTATCTAACCTTGTTTAGGGCCCCCACCAAAGCCAGTAAGAGCCTTTTACATGTCAATTCCTGGGCAGTTACAGAAAGATTCTCAATTAAAGTCAGATGCAATGACAAGGTGAAATCTGTGACTGTGCTTGTGGGCAGGAAGCAAGCTGCGCACTCCAGCAATAACAGCATTAACTGGGGAATCAACATGGTGTACACAACAGGCTCGTGAAAGGGATGCTTTTGGAATCAACCCCTGTCCTGGGACATGGCTGAGCTTGGAAAAGTTCCTTTTGAATTGCAACTTCCCTTTGTCACACTAGAGAATGAATCCACTTCAAATCCAGTTTCTGCCTCCTGCAGAATTCTGGGGTTTGTAGTTTAGTGAGACTGTTAAAGGCTCCCCCCTAAACTACAAACACCAGAATGCGGCAGGAGGCAGAAACCGGATTTAAAGTTGTTATTATTTCGTATCAAAAGCATTGCATAAATTAGTATAAAACCGATAAAAATAGAAGGAGTACAGGTGGCTAAATACCTTTTGACCAAAAACGGGCAACAGCAATGGCATTGTCTGTAGCCTCCAATAATTCTTCCTCTGTACACGAGGCAGGGCATAGTGGACAAGCATACAGATGCAGAGTTGTCTGGATTTAAAGTTATTATTTCATATCAAAAGCATTGCATAAATTAGTATAAAACCGAGAAGGAGTGCAGGTGGCTAAATATCTTTTGACCAAAAACGGGCAACAGTAACAGCATTATCTGTAGCCTCCAACAATTCTTCCTCTGTACACGAGGCTACAGATAATGCCGTTGCTGTTGCCCGTTTTTGGTCAAAAAATATTTAGCCACATGCACTCCTTCTTATTTAGCCACATGCATAGTGAACAAGCATACAGATGCAGAGTTGTCTGGATTTAAAGTTATTATTTCGTATCAAAAGCATTGCATAAATTAGTATAAAACCGATAAAAATAGAAGGAGTGCAGGTGGCTAAATATCTTTTGACCAAAAACGGGCAACAGCAACGGCATTATCTGTAGTCTCCAACAATTCTTCCTCTGTACACGAAGAAGGGCATAGTGGACAAGCATACAGATGCGGAGTTGTCTGTTCTGCTCCACAGTCACACAAGATGTGGGATTCTTTTGGGTCTTGCCATTTTGCCAGGTTGTCTTTTGATCTGCCCACTCCACTTCTGAGTCTGTTCAGGGAATTCCAAGTTGCCCGTTCTTGGTTTGCCCCTGGAGGAAGATAAATTTAAAGTGAATTTATTCTCTATTGTGATGATGTGACCAGGATGGAAAATTTGAAAGTTGTAGTAACCCCCCCTCCCCCAAGTCAGTTTTCAAAACTTTGGAAAAAGGAACAACTTTGCAGGCAATTTTTTTTACAGTACAGGGAGGGGTAGTTGTCATCAATAACTTTTCAGGATGTTTATATTTATATTATAATATATTATGTAGCATTGTTGGTAAGCTTTACAGCATGGATGGCCCTTCAGATGTTTGACTGCAGCTTCCATAATGCCTCATATTAGTTGTATAATACATATCACCACCACCCCATGACAGAAGCCTCCCACAAGGATGGTAAAACATCAAATAATCTGGGCAGCATCCTTGCAGACTGTCAACACTCTCACACCAGAAGCGACTTGCAGTTTCTCAAGTCGCTCCTGACACGGGGAAAAAAACCCACCCTCATCCAATTGGTGTCATTTTGCCTCAAGTTCTCCTGATCCAGGAATAGTACAGAGGTATTCAGAAGAGTTGGCCTGGCTGTGCCACTACTGCCAAGCTTTTGGGCCTCCTGCATTTATGGACTGCCTACATATAGCTTCAGATCAGGGATCCTCAAACTTTTTAAGCCAAGGGCCATTTCACGGTCCTTCAAACTGTTGGGGGCCAGACTATAGTTTGGAAAAAACATGAATTCACATCTTATTTATAGTATAAAAAAACCATGAAAGAACAATACAATATTTAAAATGAAGAATAATTTTAACCAACATACACATATAGAATCAAAGAGTTGGAAGAGACCTCATGGGCCATCCAGTCCAACCCCCTGCCAAGAAGCAGGAATATTGCATTCAAAGCACCCATGACAGATGGCCATCCAGCCTCTGTTTAAAAGCTTCCAAAGAAGGAGCCTCCACCACACTCCAGGGCAGAGAGTTCCACTGCTTAACGGCTTACCAGTAATTTAATGAGAAGTGTGGACCTGCTTTTGACTGGTGAGAGCGACACATTAGGATTGTTGTTGTATGCCTTCACATTGTTTCAGACTGAGGGTGATCCCAAGGCTAAAGTTTAGGGTGTGTGTGTAAATAAGCTTAGAGGGCTGCATCTGGCCCAACAAGCCTTAATTTGGGGACCCCAGCTTTAGAGAGTACTCCTCTTTGACACTCACCTTGAGATTTCCCCCAGAGCGCATACAATAAGTGGAGGTAGGTTGGTGCTGTGATAGTAACATTTGGAGTGTATGAACTCATCAGACAGTCCTGGTAGCCATACAGACAAGGCGCATAACAGTCATGTTGATCCAGAGTGAGAAACTTGTTTAAGGGATTTCTATCTCTTAATAAGAATGTGGTCTTGTGTGAAGCAAACAGTGTTATTTGCAAAACTGAAGCCACCCTAAAAATACTTTTCTAAACATATTGAGCTCACAACGACCTATTATCCCCAGCAAAGACAATATTATTTTCGAAGGCTTTCATGGCCGGAATCACTGGGTTGTTGTAGGTTTTTTCAGACTATATGGCCATGTTCTAGAGGCATTCTCTCCTGACGTTTCACCTGCATCTATGGCAAGCATCCTCACTACCTCTGAAGATGCTTGCCATAGATGCAGGCGAAACGTCAGGAGAGAATGCTTCTAGAACATGGCCATATAGCCCCCAAAAACCTACAACAACCCGAAGCCAATTTTCTTCCTATTAAATCTAACAGAAGAACTGGAGCTAAGCTCAGGGGGAACAAGACGCATTTGAGATGGGGTTAGGAGATGGCAACTTTCCCCCTACTAATGAAGAAAGTGTTGTTTATTTATTATTATTTATTTCAAATATTTGTACCCCGCCCTTCTCTACCCCCGAAGGGCAGCTTACAGCTGGCAACAATTCGATGCCTCCCATATACGCACAGATAAAACAGCAATTACAAAATAGATAAAGCATTAATATAAATTAAAACCCATTTAAAATAGTGCAAATTCATTTAGTTAGCCAAATCTAAATCTGAGTTCTACAATCAAACTTGGTCCGAAGCCTGTCCGTAGTCCATTTACCATAGCATTGTCATCATTTATTTATTTATTTATTTATTTATTTATTTATTTATTTATTTATTTAGTACATTTCTATACCGCCCCTCTCAGCCTTCCGGCGACTCGAGGCAGTTTACAAGGCAAGAATTCAATGCCACCAAGGACACAATTACAATACAAAATATAAAAAACACCAGCAACAATAAAATCAAACATTATAATGAAACATACTTCAATCGATAATCATTAAAACAATGTCCATATAGTTATATCCGATTACTCCGTATTTTGAAATGCCCGCTCAAATAGCCATGTCTTAAGCTTCTTCCGGAATGATAGGAGCGAGGAAGCCGATCTAATCTCCCTAGGAAGGTCATTCCATAGCTGAGGGGCCACCACCAAGAAGGCCCTGTCTCTCATTCCCACCAACCATACCTGTGATGATGGCGGGACCGAGAGCAGGGCCTCTCCAGATGATCTTAAAGTCCTTGCAGGTTCATAAGGGGAGATTCGTTCGGACAGGTAAGCTGGGCCAGAACCGT